TACTACACATACATGTATATATTTATGTACTAAATAAAAATACCCTGCAATTGTACTTTTAGTATACTAAATTGGTAAGTCTGCTAAACTAGAACAACTAATTTTGTACCTAATGCACTTTAATTGTGCGGAAGTAGTGCTGAAGTCCAAATAAAAATAAACTAAAGTATATTTGATTGTGCTAAAGTGGAACTATTGCAAGTAGGTACACTTTAAATATATTGTATTTAAAGACCAATATTATTCAAAGATAGTGACATTAAAACACATTTTAGGCTTAATATTAAGAAATGTGTGAGCTAGTAGTAGTACTCCAAATAAAGTTTAATTATAATTTTTATATCAGTATGTCCCGAGCAATATTCTGTAAATCTGTATTGTTAATCATTCACAATAAAACCATGAGTGTATAAGAAAGTGTATAAGAAATCATTTTGATTTGGATCAGTTTTGATTTCTTGTTGAACCGTCAGGTTTCTCTCACATACTGTAACTAAAAGCATCCTGCTGCTGATTTTGCTGTCTTAGCCATATACTGTACATACACACACAACAGACACAAAAATTGAGAGATGCCTGGAGCGTTTTGCAATTCACTGCATCGGTCAGCGCACGCTCGCTAGCATCTCTCTGCATTCCTTCATGGACCCACAGACGCACCTATACCACAGACAGACAGCAGCCTCTCCTCAAATTACTATTCCGATCATGATCCAGGCACCTTCACAAATCAGCTCCTTACAGCCCAAAGCCTCCCCGTTTGCAAAAACAAAGCAGCGTGACCTTTCCTTTTTTCCCTCATCGTCTCCTCAGCGGCTCAGCCTCCATTTCCTCAAACATTTGCCTGCACGGAGTCATCCTTAATTACCACGACAGGGGCAACGCATTCCCTATCCCAGGCACAAAGTTGTTTTTTGCCTCTTTATTTCTACTAAGCAGGAAGCTTTGCTCTTCAGCTCGATTGGGAAACGCTCTCAAAACAGGACGAAGAGCAAGCAAGAATAATAGCGAGAAAAATGCAAGCTTCTGAATTGACAGTTTCCAAAAAAAAAAAAAAGGAGTCTGCATAATTTGTTTCCACAAGAGGAAATGTATTAAAATAAATCTCATAAACATCAAGAGGACTGGCTTTTTTCTGGCTTGGAGAATGAAATCAAACTAATCAGCATTGTGCTAATCCTTTCAAGGAAGCTGTAATCCCTGGGATAGCGGGACATGGCTAAACCCACTCTGGAGGGGATCCGGTGGATTCTTTTTAACAAGCCTGATTACGGCAACAGACGACCACCACATGTCAGAATAATGCCTGGACCAGGAGAAAAATAAAGGCAAAGTCTGTTTGTGCAGATGTGTCATAATCATTCAGACTTATTCACAGACTTACACATATACACAGGGCATTTAAACTGATCGCTATTTGCAGTGCCAACATTGGTGACAGATACAACAGTGCAATAAAGTTTACCCAGATTACAGAAATGTGCAGCGCAGGGTTGTGCACCACTCTGAGAATGCCTGAATTCAGTTCATGAATTGATGAATGAAAACAGAACGTAGACTACAATTCAAATTTGAATCAAATCATGCAGAATTAAAATGAACTGACTGTCATCAAGACAAACTTTTAAACAAGGATCTGTCCAACCAACATTTAAAGGCTTAAAAAAGTCAAAAATGTGCATCATGTTACTTAACCAATTTTAATTAAAGCATAGAGTACCATGCATTGGCAAGACATTGCACTAACAATACGTCAAAAAACAGAAACAAAAACGATATGACTTACTGAAATAATCCAATCAAAGTCAATAATTTCAGGTATTGACCTGCTTGAGCAGTGTGAACTGAAACTGAACAATGCATTTACACTGGTAAACTGAAGCATTTAGAGTCAGTAAGAATTTTTATTTATTTTATTTTATTTTTTTGTTATATTACTTTTATTCAGCAACGACACATTAAATTGCTCAAAAGTGACAGTAAAGACTCTTTAAAATTATTTAAAAAATTAAAATAAATACTATTCTTTTGAACTTTCTGTTAGAAACGTATCTCGATTTCCGCAAAAATGTTAAGCAGCAAATCTGTTGTCAACATATAATAATAATAATAATAATAAATGTTTCTTGAGCACCAATTATAATAAGCAAATTATAATGATTTCTGAAGGATTATGTGACATTGAAGACTGAAATAATGATGCTGAAAATTCAGCTTTGCATCACAGGAATAAATAACATTTTAAAATATATTCACATGGAAAACATTTATTTCAAATTGTAATAATATATTCCTGTTTTTACTGTATTTTTGATCAAATAAATGCAGCCTTGTTGAGAATATGAGACTTATTTAATTACACCGACCCCAAGCATAAGAACAGTAGTGAAAGTGCTGGTCAGAATATTCAAGTGTTATATTCATATTATTTTTTACTTAAAACTGTACTAAAACACGTCAAAAATATGGACAATGAATAGCATATGCAGGCAGATGGAGACTATAGCTCAACTACACAAAAACCCACCACTGCTTGATTATAACTGCATATGTAAACACACAGAGTTTACGCCTCCTGAGACTCTGAAAAACAATCACGAAGCAGAAAGTCCAGGTTGCAGATCCTTTCCCTTTCTGAACAAGTCCAAAGAGGTAAAAAATGCAACAGATGTGGTCTTCGCTAAAACTACATTATTTGTTATAATGGAAAGTGAAGCGGTAAACCTGGCTTGTTTGGGTGACAAGAGACCCTTCCACTCCGCAGGAGCCAAAGGTGCGCTTATGCAAACACAAACTACATTTCCCAGCATTCCCTGTAGGGTAAGGTTTGACTAGTAGCATCTGCTTCCTTTGATTATGTGTGGAGAAACTTAGGCAGACCAAAAAAGAAAAGGGACCCAGAGGAACAGGGTAGTGCCAGCTAAGATTAAGGCACGGTAACCACTTTCCTGGCACTTATCACAGGGGTAAAGCTGGATCCGTGATGCCAATATCTAGATCAAGAGCACGCACACACCAAAACAAATGCAAGAGGGAGAAACTGAGAGATTTAAAATAAAACAATTGTGGCAGGGGAACTCGACAAGACAAGGACTCGCACGCAGCAGCACTTTTCCGTGCCGCTTAAAACTTTTAGATGCACAGTTTGTCATCTGGGGCAGATTATGGTGGAATGACGCAGACACAGCATCTCTGTGTAAGTGCGTAAAGGCGCATTCGCTATCGCCACCGGCCAAGGCTACTCAAGAAGTTTAAGCATGCTAAAATGAGAGAATATTGTTCACCTTGACAGCTTTTTCATCCCTGCTGCTAGGGAGCGACTTATGAATCTTTTGGCGATATCAAAGCCCTTTACTCTGGCTCAAACAGGGTCCCAGTGATGTACATTATAAAAAGCAAACTCGTGGGCTTCTCCGTTTGCAAAGTCTACAAAACATGGGGATTTTGTCATTGAGTCAAGGTAATACAATTCAATCTACAGCTTACCAGATCAGCATGTAAGCTCCGTACCCATCCTCGCTGTTTGCCCCTACATTCGGTACACACGCATTGTGATTTTCCATGCCCTCATTTATCCAGGGATGAATCTGAAATATTTTGAAAGGTCATGGCATGCATCATCCCAAGACATCTGTAGCAGTATGTGCCATCTCCATCATGATAAAGAATTTAAGGCAGGTCTAGAAAATGAAAGAAAAGTTTGACTTTTGTAAGCTAGTGAAAAAAAGCTTTCACAGTCTAGCCTTCTTCAAACCATTATAGGCAAAGAAATGCAATGATATATTAACCTATGGTAACAAGACTTGTCAGCTATTCCTTTAACAAGAATTTTAAACCCTTAATACATCATGTGATGGTATTCCTTCAGAAATTCAGAACAGCTCAATACAAATCTCATCTCTGTAAATTTGGCAGAGTCCACAGTAAATCAGATAGCAACCTGCAATATGTTAACTTACCCACTTGAGACCAGATCTCCGATTTTAAAGAAATGAAAACCGAGCTGGTGCATGTTCAAGTGGTGTTATACTTTAGCAGAGAGCGAGACGGTAGGAGGTTGTGTCAGACTTTTGGTGTGCTGTGGAATCGGTCCAAACAGGCTTCCCTAATCTCTGCTGAGTGTGTTTGTTTGTCTCTGAATGTCAGAACGCCTTCGGGCCAGGAAGACAAAGTTCAAAGCAATGCAGATACACTTTGTATACGAGTCCAACTGTTAGATAAAACTGACACAGATATACAGAGCAAATCCAAATATTGCAATATGGCAGTCAACAAAGCGGTATATTTCATGTGAAAATACCAACTTTTATTTTTTTTGGTGGACAACTGATTATAAACAGACAAACTTTTACAAAATTATTGTTATAAGAAAATTATAATCTCATGAATTCTCATATAACGTAATAATATTATATAATATAATAAATATAGTATAGTAAAGTAAAGTATATAAATGAGAATCATTATATATATACAGCTGAACACCTCTGGTGTGATTTTAAATGCAGACCTTGAGCCAAAAACTCATCACCAAACACCAATGACTTGTACATATGGGTACAGTCAATTTAGACTCTTCCAAAACTGTTGCAACAGAGATGGAAATACAATTTTTAAATACATGAATTACCTTTCCACCTTTGTTGCCACAGTTTTGGAATTGCTTTTATCTGTTCTAAAGAAGGGGGTGTCCCAATACTTTTGTCTATATTGTGTATGTATAAGTCATTGGTGTTTGGTGATGAGCTTTTTGCTCAAGGTCTTTTAAAGTCAAATATTATATTATATTATATTATATGTTGACTGCAGTGTTCTGTCGAGCCGAAAATCTAGAAACTCCTACTTAGATCTGTGCTTAACTACAATTAATAATCAAAGTTTGCTGTAAAACAAGCATGAGGTAACAAACAATAGCATCCAATAAACAACACATTAAAATGTTATCATTGCATTATGGGAAAAACTAAATTCCAAACTCCTGTGAAACAAAAAGCTTCTACCTCGTTGGTGTTCCAGCGATGTCTCTCCTTGGGCAGGGAGGAGCATTTGGGAAGGCATTCCAGAAGCTTCTTGGGCAGGTAGATTTTCAAATGTCCATGTTCATCTGTGAATGACACAAAACGATTACTGAATATGAAGCGAGTAGGATTATTAAAACCAAAGCTGTGCTGCTCTCCAGAGTCTAAAACACTGGGAGCTGTTCTTTTTAAACAAAGATCCAATCATTTCTTTGTAAATTACTGAGCTGTTTGAATTCAGTGTCACTATTGCTCAAGGGACTCCTTTAAGGAAACTTCCATGCCCAGGTGTTACGTTTGCAAATTGCTGTGACAACCTTTTCAGAAATATAAAACTATAAACCAGGCACGAGACCTCAAAGGGGGAGCACTCAGAAAGCAATGAAGAAAAAAAAAAACTTAAGATGTTACTGTGAAATGAAAGGGAACATATTTAGAGCACAAGGCGTGCAAAAGGCTTTCATCCAGAAATGTTGTGATTTTGTTTTTATTGAGTTTTTTTTAAACACTCCCGTTCTTTCTCTCTCCCTTATCATGCCAGAGTGCCTGCTCAAATTCATAACAACAAAATTGGGCAACGGAGCAAAAGCATTTCAAGGTTATTGATAACTGTTTGCATCAAGGGCTGAGGCTTCTTAAGGAACTCAATCTTTAGCCCTGTGGGAGAAGGTAGTTCCATATTGCATGCTGAGCCTGCTTATGAATATAAAAAAAAGCGAGAGAGACTGAAAGAAAAGGAGAATGAGAGACTGACTGAGATTTGTGGAATGTGTCCTCGGTAAAAGACGAGAGAGAAGCGAAAGAGACGCTGCAGATCTGAGCGAGATGAAGCCCGTGTGTCCATAGAGACACTGCTTAGCAACCACTCTCACTCTGGCTTTAAGGACAAACAGATAGCCAGAGGGAAAGAAACACATGAAGAGGGTTAGATCACTCTTATGTTCACTGTCTTACACCAGAACCAATGCACATTGTTTGTGCTTTACCTGTCCATGAACTTAAACCCACATAAAAAAAAATAAATTCCCTGTAGAAAACGGCCAAGTTCAACAAGACTTCTTTCAAATCAACAGAGCAGATCAGATAAACGCAATTGCGCCTGAAATATACTCTATACAAGTACCTAAATGCCAATGCTTCTACGTTTGCAATTCAAGTACGCACTGCATTCTCAAAGTTGCCACGAGAGGCACTAAAGCACAAATGTCTGCATTTAAAGTGACTTTCCAGCCATGACAATTTGATGAGAATTGCTGTAAATATACTGAATTCAACTTACTAACCAGAATTGTCTGAATTTGTCTGTAACAGGGGTGTTTCCTCAGAGGAGGCAAGGCAGGCAGTGTCTCCTCAAAATATTGGATGACAAACAAATTTCGTAGTACAAAAATAAAATAATGCCAATATTACAAAATATAACATTAAATAGTCTAGAAATCACTCATTTTTCTAAAGAAATATTGTTCAACAGCGACACCAGCAGGTAAAGTTACAGCGGGAGTCCGCCTCTCTCTCGCCTCCCCTGAGCCCATTGAGTTTTAACAGACCACCTAAAACCTGCAATGGGTTTGGTGAGGGGGTAATAGAGAATGAATGGGTGAAAGTCACATGAGAGGAGGCATTTACTTAGATATAACTACTTTGTTACGTCAAAATAAGACTTAAAATGGCATGAAAACATGAGTTTTTAGTAAGTAATCAGTTTGGAGAATTTTAAAGTAATTCTCTGCATCTGTGACCAATATTTACCAAGCTTTGATGACTGATGGTCCGAAAAATTCAAAAATAGTTCAAAGTTAACTATTAAAAATAACAGCTGAACATAAGTTCACAAATAAAACTGCCTTGAGTTATTATTTTGGAATAAATGTAAAATGCTTAAAAACACAAACTTGAGTCGGTGCTGATAGCCTTGTGGGCAGCGTGCCGACATATAATGCCGCTGCACTACGGGCATCGCGAGTTCAAATCCCAGCTCGAGGACCTTTCCTGATCCTGCCCCTACATCTCTCTACCACTTTGCTTCACTTCTACACTGTCCTATACTAATAAAGTGAAGAGATTCATACATGCCTTTAACAAACAGAATATTAATTACATTGTTAATGTAAAATTATGAAATAGAATTGTTTTTTTATTTATTTTTCTGATAGTGTAAGTAATGTTTATTTACCCAAGGAAATGTGACTGGGACATGCATTTACATTTGTAAAAAAAATAAATAAATCTTTGCGGACTTTGCCTCCTCAATTCAGAATACCACCGCACACCACTGGTTTGTAAGTATACTGTGACCTTTGTTATTTTTATTGTGTAAAACTTACACTACTGTACTCAATACTGTAAAAACTAAAAGTATATTTCCAGCCTCCAGGCATAATGATAACTATAAAGTGTTAATATTCATTCTAACTATAACGATAAACAGCACGAAGGAACAATTTTGTTTTAGAATGTTTTTTTTTTTTTTTCAACTAATGGATGATAAATACACTCACAGCCAATCAGAATCTACATGTTTTTATATCACTAGAGCATTTAAAGTGGCAGAAGACAAAACTGCAGCGCAATTAATAAACAAAAAGTTGTCATACGTTAAGGTGGATGCCTATATAGTTACCGCTATAGTAATATTTATAGTTAGCTGTGAATGGGCCTTTATTAGGAATGGCTTTTTCTGGCTCAAGAGATTTTTTATAAAACTTTTAACTTGCTATTAGCCTTGAAATTTCTTCTAAATTTCCTAAAGCAAAGCAATTTGTTGTATAAGAATTTAAAGGTATTTGATGAACATGAATGGCACAGAAATTAGACTTTTGCAGACTTCATGTCTTGGCAAAGTCTGAGATTACCAGAGCATTTTCCTCAAAGAAAAATCTAAGGACCAGGAGACTTAAGTAAAAGTTGACATTTGCTCTCCATTCAATCTCATTAGCATCTAGGAGAATCTGTTGAGTTTGAAAAGATCTCATTTGTGATTTGCCTTTTTATTCAGCGCCGTCTCTCTCTCTCTCATGGCAACAGTTCTGTTGGAATCTAATGACCGTTTCACATTATAAATTGGGAGATCTGTGGCTGTTATGCTTCAGCTAAAGCAAAGATTCTAAAGCAAAACACACAGCACATTCTCATAAGACAATGAATAAATGAGCAGGCTCTCTTGAAAAGTTCTTTTCTTTTTCATTTTATGTAACTCAACTGGGATGTGTTATAAAGGAACGAGGCATTGAGAAACTTATTTACAGGGTAATTAAGACGAGACTATATATCCCTTCCTGTTCCTATTCGTTATTTCTCATCTCTCCCTTCATCTCCGTCTCTCTTTTTCCCGCTCAGTACATGTTTTGGCAGAACAAGCGAGCGATTCTGAGGACTGCCATTTAGACTCATTGTTCTGCATCAAAGTGAGGGGCTTTTAAATTATGCTGACTCTGACGACTGTGGCTTTAGAGGCAATTTTTAATCACAGTCAGTCGCCGTCTGCCAAGCGCTGCCTTAAGCATTTGCCTTTCTCTCTTTCACGACCGTCTCCCATGAGTAGCCAATGAGAAGCAGAGCTGAGGGGAAAAGGCTTAACAACAAAGAAAATTAAAAACAAAACACGCTACGAACACGCTGCTAATACTCACACAGATATAAATGTGTGAATGTAGGTGGTAGAGAAAGATTGAACAGAATAGAGACTATTTGCTCCTTCTCGTGTAAACAATTATAGGTGCACACAGGCGTACGCGCCCACCATAATTAATTATGAATGTATTAAGATAAATCGCTTCAGTTTCAAACTCTACTGACATAAAAAACACAGTCACGTTCGACACGAACACCAGTCAGCATTCAGCGCAAATGCCAAGGCGCCGCAGCCGCATGTGGCCCTTGTCTAACTGATGTCTGACTCTTGATCTGAGGAGATCTTTGAAAAACACCTATCAAACCTGCCCTTCAAAGTAATGTCAGGCATCAGAGAGTCTCGTCTAAGCTAGGGATACAAAGCTATATCATAACTTAACTCTCAGCGTAAAGAGCTCTTTTAAATTTTCCAGAAACTCAGCCACCATGTCAGCAGCTGTGAGTTGGGCTAAAGTGACTGATAGACTGAAGTCTTTGACAGGAGACATTGGAGGTCACTAAATACGGAACGTTCTAGGCTGAAAGAAGTGATGAACGTTCCTTCTTCAGCTGAGTGGCGCAAAGGCACTGTGGGATCTCACACTGTCGATAAGCAGCATGTTTGAACAGATCCCGCATGTGGCTTTAAGTGACCCTAATAAGAACAACAACACTGATGGTGACAGAAAAGCCCTAAAGGCAGTGGCTGAGAAGCAGCTTTATTTTCACTGAGAGTGTTTACATGACAAATGAGCTGAAACATACTGCAGATTTCTTTATCCTTTTTGGAATATTTTCACTAAAGGTGATAAACAGTTGCTCAGCGCCGGGCATGGACAAACCATTGGGCTGATTGTGCCATCTAAAATCAGACCTTTGAATATTTTGACAGACAAAACATAAAGTGTCCATATTTTAGACATTTTAGTCACATTAATGGACAATAAAATGCATCAGAAATGGAAAGTAACAAAAGTTTTAAAGATCCTAATGAAAACAGATTTCATATAACAAAAGAAGAAAAAAAACAAGAAGCCGCAACACAGCACATGGTTGGACTAAAAGTATTAATTAAAATAATTAACATTATGATATTCATTGATTTAAAAAAAGCACAAATGAAACAGACTTCACCCTCCATAAAACATTTTATATAAAAAAAAAATATTACAAATCTGTATGTACAACTTCCTGAGGTTGCACTAAAAATAAATATTATTCATGGATTGTAAAGCTCTATTTTGACCCATTACTACAATGGTTTTTGTGTGTTTTTTTGTCACATTTTATTGTAAGGTTCAATTCTCAATATTAACAAACCATTAACTGAATTTTGCCTCAAATTCCTAATTTGCTACTTTTTAATAGTTAGTAAGGTAGTTATTAAGGTAGTTTAGGTATTGGGTAGGATTATGGATGTAGAATATGGCCATGCGGAATATGTGCTTTATAAGCACTAATAAACAGCCAATATGTT